CCCCAAAACCCCAAAACCCCAAAACCCCAAAACCCCTTGAACTAATCATGATATTGAAAATGGTAAATTCTATACCATAAAGAACCTCTTTAGGATATCCCCAGTCTGCAGATGGGACACTCTGGTTTATTCCTTAAACATTGCTTGATACATTTTGAGTGGAAGATATGTTCTCTACTGCAAGGGAGGTAGGCTAACTTTTGTTTTGAACTTGGACCGAATTGGTCATGGCAGATTGGGCAATCTCTACCTTTGAGTCTTGAACGTTGGCTTGAATATTTTACTTCGATGAGACTGGATAATGGATCTTTGGAATTTGGGTTTGTATGAAGTGAGTTTCTAGGGTGAGATGAAGGCCTGGCGTTGCGGGAGTTTCTGGGCGGGTGTCTGATTTGTGAAGATGCTCGAGGAGGATTAGAGTTTAGAACTTGGGGGTCATATGACCAATGATTATGAGTTTGGTACTTGTGTTCTTCTTGGATAAGGTTTAGCTGGAGATGATTTTGACGAGCACGATAATCATTATTCAAGTTCACTTCTGTCATAATAATCTCATTTAGCGATGAAATAGATGCTTGTTCAATATCAAAATGTTGGTCTTCTCTTATCCCTTCCAGAATCGACTTTATAATTCATGGAGCTCATAGGATGGTATAAACGATCATCACTGAATGATAAATTGTTCTGCAGAAGATGAAGAAGTAAGCGAGGAATAACAGGATTTTATTGAAGAACCCAATAGATTTGCCAGCCTGGGTTTTTATATCAAGCAATCAGATCAGAACAAAGATAACTCAAAGGCAGACGTGAGTTACATTGTGATACGCTATTAATATGTTTATATCTCTCTGAACTCCTTCATGACATGAGAGAGTCTAATTAAATACATGGTAATATCCCAAACTAGTAAGTACTGGAGGGCTGATTTCAGGAAATATCCTTCTTTAGTTAGCCAGCTTGACTCAATGAATATTAACAAAAGGAAGGCAAAGACATCAAAGGGTATGAATAAGCAACAATGTATAGATATTCTTTGAGTGCTTTCTTTTGTATGGGGTTGTTTCCTCCATAACCATGCATAAAACTCAGAACCTAACTTTTTCAATTCCATTTTGAATTCGTAGCTTTATTTTTATTAGTTAAGAAGCAAGAGAATTTCGATTTTAAGAAAAAAGGTTGGGGTTTTGGGGTTTTGGGGTTTTGGGGTTTTGGGG